CCAGGAAGTTCTATCCAGAGCCTATGGTGTTCTCTTTTTATTTGTTCCTTTAACACCCATTTAACATGTTGGTATGAGATACCAAATGTGGGTTCTGGTCCAATAAGAGTTTTTTCCGCTCCCTTCCTTGCTAGGAGGTCTGCTTTCTCGTTTCCAAACACTCCCTCATGTCCTGGCACCCAGTCAAGGGTAACCTTGTTATGTTCTGCCAGAGCCTGGAGGGATTGTTGGCAATCAAATATTGATTTAGATTGTACTTCTACCCTTTTTAGTGCTTTAAGGGCTGCCTGACTGTCTGTCATGATAACGATTCTCTTATCTCTAAGAGAGTCATTTAGCATGACTTTGGCGCAGGCATTTATTGCTACTACTTCAGCCTGGAAGACTGTTGTCAGTGACCCCAGGTTCAAACTAATTGTCCTCCCTAAGTTCACATGGTAGATCCCAGCTCCTGTGCTGTTTTTCATTTTCGAACCGTCTGTATACCAGATTGATTCGTTTTGTTTTTCCCTTTTTTCCCGGCTTTTGGCCCTTTCTGGTATTTGAATATCAAAAGGTTTCTTGAAGTCGTGAATAATGGGCGTTCTATCCGATGGCATTCTTAGTACCGGATTTTGTTTTAATTTCTCTAATATCATTGTGTGGTGTCCTTTTCTCGAAAGTTCCCATCCAAATCCATTAGTAAACAGCCTGTATGCCGCCGCCATAGCCTCCTTCTCCACCACAAGGTGTAGTGGAGGAAGACCTAGCAGTAGCTCCATTGCTGCTGTGGGCGTCGTTCTAAATGCCCCTGTTATTATTAGGCAGGCTAGTCTTTGTACCTTGTCCAATTTTCTGTTAGCTGTTATGCTTTTAGTCTTGTGCCACCATATGACTGATGAGTAAGTTATGACCGGTACTACAACCATAGTGTAAAGCCAGTGCATCATACTTGGTTTAAGCCCCCAAGCGTTCCTTACCATCCGTCTACAGGCCCATAGTATTCTTACAGCTTTTTCTGTTGTTTTTTCTATATGGCTACAGAAGCTAAGCTTGTCATCGAGAGTGATTCCAAGATATTTAACCTCCTCTGCCATTTTTAGATGTTGTCCCCACATATAAAGCTTCTTCATTCCTTGAAGGTTCCTTTTTCTTGTGAATGCAACAACAGAGGTTTTTGTCGGGTGTGGTACCTGTTACTGACACGATCGCTATTGTATTTAATATTTCGCCTCTTGTTATCCATACTGTTTACATTTTATTCATTTATTTACTTAAAATTAATTTTTAATTGTTTAATATTTTATACCTAACACTTTTACCTTTTTTTTCTAACTTTAACTTTAAAAATTTCAACAACTTTTTCAAAAGTTCAATTATTTTATTAAGTTGGCAAACAACCTGATAGCATTTTGTCAACTGTCATGATTAATCATCTTTCAAAGTTTATACCTTAACTCCTAATCTACAAAATGGTAAAATTTTTGTGCTAGTTACATTTATTTAACTCTAAAATATTTATACTATTTTGAAAATACAGACTTTATTATTAGATCTTTACTGTATTAAAATTGAAACTGGAAAGAAAACATATGTTATGTTTTACATGATATCAGTTAAGGAAACGTTAGCAGTTCAGTTTTATATTAAAATACGATAAACGATTCATCTTATACAACTTTCTCCTGACTATCTCATAAAAAGGGGATTTGATCGAAATTTTCTTTAAAAAAAAAATGACGAGTACACTGAGAGAATTATATTTAAAAAGTTTTTCAGCTACAATTAAAAAAATACATTCATGCAACTAAATAAGATGCTTTTTTAAAGTAGTTTTGTCGCCATACAAAAAAAAAATTGTTACCTTTGCAAATATTTTTTTTTTTTCATATAGAACCAGCAAAAATAATTTTTGCTCTTAAAAATAGTTTTTAATTACTAAACATTTATTTTTCTGTAGTAGAAATTTAAAATATTAATACGTATATTTTCCATCATAACAATTCGCTTTTTAAATCCAATAAAAAATATCTTTAGAAAGTAACGATCGGTTTCGATCGAGAGCTTTTTCTTCTGTGCTCGAGAAGATTTTCTTTCATTCAGCGTACTCCGTTCAGTCCGTTCCTGGTATATCGACAGGCACAGACAACAAGTGATTGATTTGTGATTTTAGTTATAATTACCCTAGCCGCCAGCAAAGGTCATCCACGTTACGTTGGAAAATCGTAGGTTTGACGCCATTTTTGCAATAATTGTGCATAAGTTGTGTTCGTTTTCCAATGGATTAAACAGAGAAACTGACTAATTGGGGACTTCAAGATTTTGTTGAAAATTTTAAGGGTAGGTACATAACGTATAATATAAAAGTATTTTATCTCTACTAATTTATCGGTTTCAAATGTATTGACTCCTCACTTTAACGTTAATTAAGGACAAAACAGTAGATAAAGCGAAAAATCTTGCAAAGTGTTTTCATTAAGACATCAGAAATTCCTTTTCCTATTTTGATGGAACTTGGAGGCTATTTTGAGTACTAAGAGTTAAATGTTTAAGATTAAAATTATTTGTTCCAGTGACGTTAACAGATATTTCTAACAAAACACATGTATGGCAGTGTTTTTTGATATTTTTAATAAATTAAGAAATAGAAAACAAAAATGTTTTGTAATTATTTTCTTTGTATCACTTTTTGGCAAATTAAACATGCACATCTGTATAGCGTTTAGGTATACATGAAATAACCTAGAATAAGAAATAAGAATTAGTAGAAAAGATGGCAAACTCTTATCTTTTTAGGTATACCTTATTTTATTTAATTTTGTTTGGAAATTGATAATGCGCATGCTCCAAATGTTTTCTGTTTTAAATGTTCCGGCTTAAGTTTTTTTAATGAATTTTGACAGTTTTACAAAGGATTCGGGAGACTGCGTCATTTTTTTGCAACAATTAAAACTGCCTGTTCAAGGTAACAAAATACTTTTTAACTGCAAGAAAAATACATGTTTAACCACTAAAAACCTACTTTTGAACCATAAAAAACTACTTTTTAGTGAGTAAAATTTTACTTTCTAACCACTAAAATTAATAAAATCTAAAAAGTACGTGTTTAGGGACTAAAAAGTAAGTTTTTTTAATCAATTTTGACAGTTTTATAAAGGATTCGGGAGACTGATTCATTTTTTGTTGCATTTAACAGTAAAACCTTAGCTGTTACAGACCTTAAAAACCTAAATTTAAACATTTCTCAAAAATACCTGACATTAATTATTTTTATCTAAATTCTTAACTTACTGAGCTAGGGGAAGCGGTTTCTAGGATCCACGACTGGTATATTAAAATTCGAAATTTGCGTTTCTGAGATAGAATTAATAAAATATAATTTTTTTTTCTAGATATTAAGGAAGGATCGTTTGGAATGACCCACCTGGTAGATAGAAGAATGTTATTTTTTTATGTTCCTACCTATTTTAGTTAATAATCCTAATGGCATGGATTTTCTTATTCTATTCTATATTATAATAAACAGAAAACAATATATTTAGAATAAAACTTCTTTTAGGATTTTTCACAAAGAATAAATACCGAATTAATTTAAAGCTACTAACTGCTCATTTGAAATTTCTTGATACATATGCCTTACGTTATTATACGTCTAAAGACAAATAAGTTTAAATTATCAAATAACAATTTTATATTACATAACCTACTGAATTTTTAAAATTCAAATACATTTTTGAAATATTTAGCAATATAACTAATATATTTATTACAAAATATTCGTCTCTTTTATTTTTGAACCCCTTCCTTTCCTATGTTGATCTGTATTTCCACCACAGGTTAAATAAAAATTTATGTAAATTATATAGGTAGGTATATATTAGGTAAATTTTGCTCTAATAATTATATATAGTTTCTAATGCACGGCTAAAAAGTTAATTTTTCTATTTTTACAGAACTGATTTCATTATGAATAAACATAAAGTTCAGTCATCCTCGGTAAATCTGAAAATTTGACATTTAATACATGCAAAACATTCTTGTATTTTGACTTTAACTGAACTTAATTTTTTCGTAGAAAAAACGGCCTAAGAGCTGAAGAAACCAGCCCTAAATAGCAAAATTTACTTTTAACCATCAACAAATAATTTTTAAAGATAAAAATTAACTGTATAATTATTAAAATCTACTTTTTAAAGGTAAAAGGTTACTTTTAAACCAGTACACATTACTTTTTAACCACTAAAAACAATTTTATGAAGGTAAAGATTAATTTTTTATCAATTAAAACTACCTTTTAAAGGTAACAAAAATATTTTTTTAATTCAAAGAAAGTAATTTCTTAATCAGTACCTAATTTTTAACCAATAAATACAACTTTTAATTAATAAAAATTATTTTTTGCCACTAAAAGCCTAATTTTTAACCAGTGAAATCTATTTTTAAGAGATAAAAATAATTCTTTAACAATTAAAACTGCATGTTCAAGGTAACAAAATACTTTTTAACTGCAAGAAAAATACTGTTTAACCACTAAAAACCTACATTTTAACCATAAAAAACTACTTTTTAGTGAGTAAAATTTTACTTTCTAACCACTAAAATTAATAAAAACTAAAAAGTAAGTTTTTAGGGACTAAAAAGTAATTCCAAAAAAGTGAATTTATTAACCGTAGCAAAGTACTTTGGCTGTCGCCTATTTTAATAGAGTTTTTTTTAAAGGCTAATACATTTTTTGCTAATATAGCAAAAAATTTCCCTCGGTGTAAGTTGTAACTGTATTATTATATTAATCTTTTGAGAAAACTTTTTTTTTACTTTTATAGAGTTGAGGACTGCAAAATCGCTGGACGAATATTGTTAAAATTTACACTCTTGAAAATACTTCCATTCTTTTCATTTCTTTATATATTAGTGTGTAACATACAATCCTTTATTAAATCATTTAAAATTTAGTTTTGTTTTTCAACAAGATAGTCACTCTCTACCAGTGCTTAAAAGTTGTAATATATTATTACTTTCAGATTTTTCTCACCTGCCTCGCTGCAAGCTCGCAAGCATTTCAGTTTTTTGGTCAAGATGGTCTCATCCATAAGGCAGCTCAAAAAATTGGAATATCTAACCTAATAACCGTTGAGGGTGATGCCCGTGCAAAATTTGGCCAAAATGAAGTTGACGTTGATGGCGCGTTTGGAATTGGAGAGAGCGGAGTGGGCGCTCACGGATCTGCAAATGCTGATGTTCTGGGTCAGAGAGCCAGAATTCGTGCTGATATTCTTGATGGTCATAAAATCGATCAACACAACCACCAGGTTTATATAGACAACCAGAACCGACAATATATCTTACAACGAGAGTATATTGGTTCGGATTATTTCCTTGTGAGGAAATATCTCAACGATGGACAAGTTTACCTTGCTAAATCTAACAACGCAAATACTGTTCAACAACAACAAGAAGGAGATACTCAACAATATAATCAATACTCAGAAAATTATCAACTACGAAATTATAATCACCGACCAGGAAGTATACACCAACAATCGGGAAATTTATATCAACAATTTGGACAAGATGATCAACCATCTGGGCAATATGATCATCAACCCGGACAACATAATCAACAATCTCGACATTACAATGAAGAAGGTTATGGTCTATACTCAGGAAGGGAACAACACTCTGGGCAAAACCAACATAACCAAGAGGTTTTTCAGGACGACCAGAATCGTCAATACATCTTTCAAAAGAAGTTAGTAGACAATAAATTGGTTCAGGTAAGGCAGTACCTTGATAATGAACATAAAAACGTTGTCAGAGATAACCTTGATAATGGTGAATTTCCAAGACAGCAATCAGAATATAATAATCATAATAGTACAACAGCTTCCACTGCAGGTAGCGGTTTTCAAGCCAACCGAGTTGTAGAAGCATTAGATAAGAACGTCAAAAAATATCGCCACGATTTTGAATCAGGTATTCAATCTGTTGTGGATAAAGTAAAAGACGCAACTGGATATAAATCAAATTTAGAAGATCCACACCATACAAAATATGGTCAAGGAAATTATGCCCATCAACTGGACAGCGATGATGACACACCAATTTCTACGACAAATGGTTTTTCTAAAATCCACAATGCTGTTGAAACTATTAACAAAAATTTTGAAAATTATCGTCCGAATTTTGAATCTGGTATTCACACGGTTGTTGATAAAATAGGTGATGTGACTGGATATAAACCAAATTCAGGAGAGCAACAACATAAAACTCAAGGTAATGTAAATTATGAATCACATTCAGGAAGGTACCATGGTAACCATAGAGAACCTACTGGGGAAAGCATTCATAATCTGTCGTTTCTACAGGACACTGATTCTATATATCAAGCGGCTTCTAGTAGATCTAAAATCTCTGGACAAAATTTACAAGTGGATGATTTAATTGAATCCGATGGAAATTTGTCATTATTACATGATCCCAGTAAAGTGGAGCCTAAAGTAAATGGAGATAATAGTGTGCATGATAGCTATGAACAAACTACTGAATATATTGTAAAAAGCACGTCTCCCTCCTTAGAATATTACCATATTGAAACTGGTGATAGTACTGAGAAAGCTGACAACGTTCCAAAAGTTAGTGAAAATTTCCTTTTTTTAGATAATGGGTATAAAAAGGAACCTATAAACCTAATCAATACAGAGAAAAGTCAAAAACAGAAGCTGGAAAATGAAACCAAAACACCAGAGCAATAATCAAGCCAATAGACTAAAACAATAAATCATAGTTATAATATTTTTTTATTACACAATTATTTATTTTATTAAATATTTTTGTCCAAGTAGGTAAATTTTGTTTTTTTTTTATAGATTTAATAATTACAACGGATAAATTCCCAAATGTAATTTGTTAGTCAAAATATACTGGATGTTTTATAGTAAAAGTAATATATTTAAATGGTAAATAGAGGTCATCGAGGTGGTTTTAAATATACTGTGTATAATGAGTCTTAAACATATTTATAACACCCTAAATATACAATATACTTTTTAGAATCCCGTTTACAATTTCATTACTTGAATTGAAACTTTGGTGCTTTTAGTGGGTTAAAAAAATCAAATATTGATTTGAATTGTTAATTAGTGAAAATTAATCTGAGCTTGCTCAAATAAACAATGCTTAAAGTGTCTATTTTTATACAAGAAGACCACTCTACAGTGTATTTACTTGCACTTGTTAAAAATTAATTTTCAAACGCCCTGTATACTAGTATTTTAAAATTGGTTTTGTGTTAATGTTATAGTCCTAAGCTAGGAATAAAATAAACTGCCTCATAATTACCGAAATTTTGACAGTGGCACTGTGCAAATAAAAACTGCTCGTCTGTCGGGCCTTAGCGGTCGGCGTTAGGGCACACACTAGGCCATGTTCAGATGCTAGATATGCTGTTTTGTAAATTATATTGTAATGGTTATTCACTACACAAGTAATTCCAAATAATGAGTTTGTTATAAAACCCAAAAGTTTTTAATGTAAAACCATTTATAATTTAAAATGTGTACGTTATCGGGAATAGACCAATCAGTTTGTGTGGAAGTTTTGTTTGTTATGTTCTGGCTAAGCCAACGAACAAGCCAAAACAGAATGTCTAAGTGAACGCACATCTTAGTAACACCACCTAGACCTAATCTAACATTATTTGTTGGTTTGTTTACTTTTCTCGATCCTCAAGTTATTTCTTTTGTCTTTGCTAATTGGTTTAATTTTATTAATAATATAAGTTTGTCTGCTGGATTTATAAAATCTGATTTAAGTGTAAAATAAGATAAAATTACTGCATTTCTAAGTGCCAAAGTTAAAAATGTTAAGATAAAAAGGTATGTAACACTTTATTTATAATTTGTTTTAATAGTAGGTACAATTTATATGGCGCAATACACCTTATTCGCTTCGTGCGCGACATCAGCGCCAATTCGTTTTGATACTAATGGACTATTTCTGCGTATACTGACAAATGCAACTTTTATTAGAATTTGTAATTAAAAAGTATATATGTTAGTTTTAATAAAAGTATATGGATTTGTTAAACAAGTAAAACATTAATTTATTATTATTATTATTATTATATATTTTTATCGCTTAAATTAAAGAAAATTATGTATAATCGATAAAAATCAATAATAAAATATAGGCAGGCAACAGTATTTACTGGAAAATGTATGAGGAGTTGTCTAAGTCTAATAAGTTTTCATTGAAGAATTAGCCTATTCTATCAAAATAAAAAAATACCATTTAATAATAGCGTGAAGTTAAAATGTATAAAAAAAGGATCGTTACTTATATTTTCATTTTTGTTCGAAAGAAAACATAGAATGAATAATTAAAACTGATTTCCCATCGGTAAGTTACAAAATTGCGTTCCAAACACATATAATACTCAAAGGCAGAAATCTTGAAATCTAGTCCTTGCTAAATGAACATTTAAGAATAAAGGAATATTAAAGAACATCGTAAAATTGTTTATTTAAAACCTTTTAAGTTTCTGATGTCTACTATTTCCAGCATTATGGTTATTATTACAAAAATAAAGGTAATTTTTCTTCTTATTGTATATCTATCCATTTAATTCTTTGATTTAATTTCCACGTTGCTACTGAAATTTTTTATATAAGTTTCACTGTTTTTTTGCTAGTATTTGTACAATTTTCAACACAGCAACTCCCGTTGCTTATTGTATTGTTTTTACCTACTTTTTTTTTAAAAAAAGTGAAATGTATACGTGTATTTGGTATGCCAAAATTACAAAATATCGCCCTAAAATGCACGAATTATCCGCAGCTAGCGCTAGTATCGCTTTTGCTTCCCTTTCCATGACTTCGTACGGAGCGAATAGTAAAAACATATTTATCTCAGGTCATTAGGGTTACAAGAGTGAAATATTTTTCAAAACTAAACATTTTACCTTTATTTACTCTGCTCTATTTTAGGATGGTCTCATTTATATGTATAAGAAAAACATATTTTTCTTATATTATATTATTATTAGCGTACACTGATATCCACAAATATAAGACTAGAAACTGGGACGATATATCTGTACCTTGAGGCAACAAGGGCCAATCTTCAATTTGAGCGAAAGAGAGCGACATTTAAAGTCGCGCTGTTGGTATTATTTCTATAACTAGAAGTAAAGGGTATAATCAGAGTATATTAACCGTTGAGTAGCGACATAAAGCGTCGGTGCCTTTGATCTTGGGTGGTGCAAATTTTCTTTCTCTCTCTTTTGACGTTATTGACGGAACGACACAGTAAAACACTGCTCGAATTATAAACTGGTCTTGAATGTAATGTTTACACTGCTCGACCTAATTTAAAGTAAAACTCTTTCGTAGTTTACATTTATAATAAAGATTTGGTCAATAGGCAGTTTTATATTTATGAGTATTTAACTTATGTAGTAAATTTAAAAATATGTATCACTAATGATAAATTTCAATTTTTTTACCTATGTCCGGATGAGCTAGAGACTTGAAAGTTGGTAGGTGAACAGGGTTTTGTTTTCTGATAACAATAGAAATTATTACTTATGGACCTTCTTATTTAATAATCGAGTTGTCTCAAACTTTAAATTTCGCGTTGTTTAAACATGTCGCTGACTACAATTTTTGACTAATACATCCACAACAACGAATTCCTATATCAGCTACCAGACTAAAGTGAAAGGGGTTGTTTACATCTTTAGAATACGTCTCGCCTCTCTATTTCGCGTCGGCGCACTAGAATTCGGTTCCCTAGCTATCGCTACTCAACGGTTAATATACTTTGGTATAATTTTGTATTACCTGGGAAACAGCAAATTTGTTATTCTATAAAACGAATTTATATATTATGCAAAATTATGTCATACTTTTAATTTTTATGGACTTTGGCCCTTGGTTGTTTTTTAGCAAATGTAGATTAGCAAAAACACAGGACTCTTTTAGACTCTTAAACTTTATAATGCCTACCTCAGAAATTAAAACTAAATTACATGTAAAACTATTTAAAATGGTAACGCATAAGTATTTACTCTAATACTGTTTTTATTTAGCCGAGGATTACACCTACTTGCTACATGTCATTGTAAATATTTGTAATAAAGTACATTTTTGCGTTGTTTCTCTCGAATTTGAAGTAAATAACGAGGTAGAAATAACAGAAGTTGAATTTAATAATGCATCTTCAGAGGATATTTGAATTTGTGCAACTGCATTCTGCAAAGAGGCTAGTTTTAAATGTTTAATTGCAAGTAATTGTTAGGGCTTGTATATTTTTATTATTAGTAAACAAAGTGTTTTTTACTTCGTTTATTTTTTTCAGGTGTTTTTATATTTTAATAATAGGTTAATAAATAAAATTTTCACAGATTTTACATTTTTGTTTGTAAACAATTATTATAATCTCTGAAATGTGATAAATTAATAAAAAAAAAACAAAAACACAATTAAATAGTTTACTAAATTATTATTTAGTCTTACAAAATGAGTTCTTGGATTTTAACAATACCACAAGCAATTATGCAGCTATAACTAAGTAAATTTACTTGCTTCAAATTCACTAAAAAATGTAGAAGGTGTATGTGAGCTACACTTTCCTTCTCCTAAATATCATTAAGGATTTTAAAAACACTGTTGAGCAATCCTAAATATACCCTCGGTTTATTTTCAATTATTTTGAGAGTTTATTGTTTTCGAAGATCTTGCTCATTATTATGAAGCCCATCAGATATTAAAGATGTTTCTTCTGATTCAGGCAAAACCTAACTATCTTTAAAACTTTCAGGAGGTTCTGAATATTCCGGAGGGTTTTTAGGTTATACACCTTCGAATTTATAGTAGGCTCATTTTTTATTTCCCGGAGAGGATAATGTTAGACATTGCTTCTGCGTCTTAAAGATACGGTGTTTTTTTATTAAATAGAGACGAAAACCACCTCTAGTAGAAGGTTATTTTCTTTGCCAGTCAACGGTTTAGAAGATATTTTTTCTATTTTTTTTTGCAGAATCAGTGAACTGGCTCTGGCTGTGGTGAATAAAAAGACCTTTGGAGATAGTTGTGTCTTAATATGTAAAGGTTTATACATCATTTAAAAAATTAACAGTTTTCAAAATCATCTGGTATCTAAAACAAGAACATCGTTACTACAATAGGAGATAATTGAATGAATTAAAATAAATCATTTTTATTTTAATAAAGAGTATTGGCGCCGTGCGTGACAGTAGCGCCAATAATTTATTTACTACTGGAAAATTTTTGCGTATATCGTATAAAATTTTTAATAGCATTCGTAATTAAAAAATATATATGTTTGATTTTATTACAGTATACGGATTTGTCAAACAAGTGAAAACATTAATTTATTATTATTATATAATTTTATCGCTTAAACTAAAAAAGTAAGTATAATCAATAAAAATCAATAATAAAACATTGGTAGGCAACAGTAATTACAAGAAAATGTATAAGAAGTTGCCTAAGTCTAATAAAATGTTTTTTGAAGAATTAAGCTATTCTGTCAAAATAAAAAATACCATTAAGTAGCGTGAAGTTAAAATATAAAAACAAAAGAATTGGTATTTACATTTTCTTCATTTTTATTCGAAAGAAAACATAGAATGAATAATTAAAAGTGATTTCCTATCAGTAAGTCACAAAATTGTATTTCAGCTACGTACAATAATGAAAGGAAAAAATCTAGTTCTTGCTGAACGTATGAGATTAAAGGGATGTTGAAGAACATTGTAAAATTATAATTTATTGTTTATTTAAAACTTTTTAATTTCTGATAATACACAAATAATATACAAATAATACACAAATAATGCACAAATAATACACAAATAATACACAAATAATACACAAATAATACACAAATAATACACAAATAATATACAAATAATACACAAACAATACACA